GTAAGACACCTAAAAAACTAGATAGCATTTGTTGCCCTCAACGCAGAGAAACTAAAGCAGATACCTTAAAGCAACTGAGGCCAATAGGAGAAGGGACCAGGAACTAGAGAAAAGGTTAGATCAAGAATAATTAACCTAGAAGGTAACACACATGCACAGGAAATCAATGTGAGCCAAATCCCTGTATAGCTATCCTTATCTCAACCAGCAAAAACCTTGTTCCTTCCTATTATTGCTTATACTCTCTCTTCAACAAAATTAAAGATAAGGGCAAAATAGTTTCCGCCTGGTATCGAGGGGGTGGGGAGGAGAGGGAGGGAGCAAGGGGGTAAAGGAGTGGGTAGGGGAAGTGGAGAGAAATGACCCAAACATGGTATGCACATGATTAAAAATTAAAAAAAAAACTTAAAAAAAAAAAACTAGTAGCTCAGGTGGGCTTGGTGGTGTGCATCTATAATTTCATCCCAGCTCCCCTGTAGTTGGAGTCAGGAGGGAAAGTTAGCAGACCCTAGCTCAAAAACAAACAAAAACCCAAAAGTGAGTGAGTGGTAGGTGTGTTTAAGTCAATAGAAAGGAACGCACTATTTTCCTCAATTTACCTGAAACCTTGCTTTTCAAAGCCCAATTACTTGCTTTTCAAAATCCAATTACTGACTTAACATCAAAATCCTCTCAATTTTCCCTAAGATCAGGTTCCAAACATTTACACAAATCCATCAAATCACTCTAATTTAGGACAACCTATTAGGGTGACAGCAAGCCACAAACTTAGACATTTCCTTTACAGTTTCTCTAAAATACATCCAAAACCCCCCAGAGACACAAAAAGAAAAAAAATATCAATTCTTATGCAGAGTGCCTACAGTAATTCCTTCAGGGTTCAGCAAGAGAGTTAACCTTTACTGCTCTAAAGCAGCCATGGTATGTAAAACTTTAACCTCTCCTGCATCTCTGGAGTGGGTACTAATTATGTACTCTCCTTTGGAGCATTAAGGCGACACGCAAATCATTGCTGTGTTCTGTGGTTCAAATGATGAACCCCGGTCAAGGGGAAATGTAGTGTTTAGAGAATATAAAACGGCCAGTTACAGGGTGGGTAATCTTGATCTACGTTCATCTACACACTTCTGGAGTGGTTAACAAAGATACACCCAGCAGCGCTAAGGGCAGCCTCAATATTCACAATTCTTAGAATAACCCATAATATGCACGACAGTCCCACAACAGACTCCTTTTCATAATAAGCTTCAGAATGACCTTGGTGAGACCAAGGAAATGTTGAGGGTCCTTCCGAAAAGCTAAGGTATTTGGCCTTTTTCCAACTTTTTCACTGAGGTGTGACTCAGTTACGAAAGGAATGCATTTCTCAGAGGCAAGGGTAGTAAACTTTTCTTTCCTGTCACTTCCTAGGTTTCCCCTTCACATTTTCTTCCGACAGTAAGATGTGTGGTGGGGGTGAGAGAGAGGGTAGCACCCGCCAGCGCCTGGCCGCAGCCTGGGAGCATCCTGGCAAGAGGATGTCGTTTCCAGGGCGCGGCGATACGTCCCGACATGTGCGTAACCCCGAACGCAGGCAGGAAGACCCCCGGCAGTCATCTTGGCGGGCGCCTCGAGGGCCTTCCCAGTCTGACACCACAGAGGCCTAAAGATCTGCAACCATACTTACTTCTTGCTCAGTTTAGGCTCGCCATCCACTTTCGCTTCAGCCTCTTGCAGCGTGGCCATCTTCTCCCAGGGCCAGACCCGAAAGTAACGAGGGTAACACGACAATTTCCAGGTCAAGGTTTGAAGCCCCGCCTCTTCCGGGGAGGAAAGGGGCGGAGCCCTTGGCGCGTCGCGCTACGCAGGCGCATTGTGGGGGCTTCGCCGCGGCGCTCTGTTACTTACCAGTGTACCTAGCCCGTCGCGCTTAGGTTCCTGGGTGTCAGACATGTCGGAGGCGATGGATTTGGGCAAAGACCCAAACGGGCCCACCCATTCCGCCACTCTCTTCGTGAAGGAGGATGGCAGCTCCTTGTCGTTCTACGTGCGGCCCAGCCCAGCCAAGCGTCGGCTGTCGACGCTGATCCTGCATGGCGGCGGCACCCTATGCAGGGTGCAGGAGCCTGGGGCCGTGCTGTTGGCTCAGCCCGGGGAGGCGTTGGCCGAAGCCTCGGGCGACTTCATCTCCACTCAGTACATCCTGGACTGCGTGGAGCGCAACGAGAGACTCGAGCTAGAGGCCTATCGGCTGGGCCCGGCCTCCTCCGCAGCCCACCAGGCTCCGGAGACAAAGCCGGGGGCTTCGGGCGAGGGCTCCGCAGAGCCGGAGCCGCAGCCGCAGCCGCTCACAGGGCGGATCGCCTTCACCGAGGCGGACGACATGGCCATCCTGACCTATGTCAGGGAGCACGCCCGCTCGTCCAGCTCGGTCACAGGCAACGCCTTGTGGAAAGCCATGGAGAAGAGCTCGCTCACGCAGCACTCGTGGCAGTCCATGAAGGACCGCTACCTGAAGCACCTGCGAGGCCAGGAGCAGAAGTACCTGCCGGGGGACGAGCTGGTGAGCCCTTCCTCCCAGAAGCTCAAGCGAAAGGCCGAGCCAGACCCGGAGGCTGCAGATGGCAGGGGTGAGGGCTGCTGCGGGGCGCGTGTGGGTCTCGGGGACCCCGGTGTGCGGGGAAAGAGGTTGCCTTTGCCTGCCGGTCCTTGTGGCATCATTGGTAGCATCTCTAAGCCCCTCCGTGGACGTCAAAATTGCACCATTTCTTCTCCTCGCTCTCTTCGTTTTAACTTAGCTTCTCAATAACTGCATCTTTTGTTTTGAGACGGGTCCTAACTGTATTGCCCACACTGCCCTCCAACTCTTGGGTCCAAGTGATCTTCTCACCTCCCGAGTGGCTGGGCCTACATGTAGGCGCGGGACAAGACGTTGCATAATAACTAGTTGATTGATGTGGTTCTGTATTCAAAAGTTAACAAAAAGAGGGCTGGAGATACAGCTCAGTGGCAGAGCACCTGCCTAGCATGTACAGGCCCTGTTTTGTTTTGCGGTACTGGGCTTTGAAGTCAGGGCCTACACCTTGAGCCATTCAGCCAGCCCTTTTTTGTGTTGGGTTTTTTCAAGATAGGGTCTCGCGAACTATTTGCCCTGGCTGGCTTTGAACTGCGATCCTCCTGTTCTCTGCCTCCTGAATAGCTAGGATTATAGCATGAGCACCAGCGCCCGGCTAGGTCCTGGGTGTGATTTCCAGCACCGCAAAAATAAAAGTTACGAATATAGAAAAATCTACCACTCTGCCTGCCTAGCAGCTAACTACCCAACCCTCCCCGCCCCAGGCTACAAAGTAACCAACTTGTGTAGCATTTCAGAGATTTCAAAGGCTCGTGTAGAAAGAAAAAAATAGTTTCTCCTATGTTCTGGTAGATACAAGTCCATTTTAAAGGCATGCCAGACCATTTCATTTTCATGCTTTGGTTTCATTGAATGCACATTCATATAAGAACGTACTGGGGAGCCGGGCGCCGGTGGCTCACGCCTGTAATCCTAGCTACTCAGGAGGCAGAGATAAGGAGGATCGCGGTTCGAAGCCAGCCCTGGGCAATTAATTCAGCGAGACCCTATCTCGAAAATACCCAACATAAAAAAGGAATGGTAGAGTGGCTGAAGGTGTAAGTAAGCCCTGAGTTCAAACCCCAGTACCGCAAAAAAGAAAAAAGAACGTTCTGGGGTGGAAGGTTTCTCCCTGATTTTGTTTAGCAAGTTTTTAACGCAGTTGAATTGCAGATTGGGATTCAGGTATGGGTTAGGACACAGTACAGAGCTATTAAGATGTTTTACTTTTGCTGTAACTGGTATTGAAAGCTTAAATGATTGAGACTTTTGTTTAAAGAGGCATGCATTTCCCCATCCACTGTCCTTTGCTTTTCTGATTCTTGGGGAGGTAAAACCCATTTCTCCTGTTGAGCATGCTTTCTAGGAATCTTGTGTTTGGTAAAAGTGACATTTCAGATTCATTCATTCAACAGATATTTTGAGTGCCAGACACTTGTCCTGCTGGGATATAACAAAAAATAAAAGTCCCTGTGGTCATGGAGCTTAACATGCTAGCTGGGCAGTGGTAAGTGCTATAGAGAACAAATAAATCAGGGTAAGGGTTGGGGAGGAGATCACTGATAAATTGATGTTTGAGCAGAGACCAAAGGAAGTGAAAGAGCAGCCGAGGAGAATATCTGGGAACAGTGTTTCAGGGAAAGGGAATAGAAAAGGCAAACTTCTTGAGGTATGGCTTGTGTGCTCCTGAAGCCACAAGAGAGTAGAATGGCTGGCATGGATAAGTGAGAGAAGTGAGTCTTGTAGGTGAGGTCAGGGAGATGGGCATGGGTGATGTACCTCATCATTTAGGACCTTCTTTTGAAATCACTGATATTGAGACTATTGGTAAGCTGTTTGGAACTGGGGCAAAATAAAGCTATATTCACCCTGTTCTTCAAAATAATGTTTTGATGATCAATGTTTAAATATAAAAATTAAAATCATAAAACAGCCAAGAAGATACGGATGAACATACTTTTTAATGTCAGCACAGTGACTATTATAAATATGGTTACTTGAAAATTAAAAACCTTGTGATAAAGTCAGAAGGCAAAGTGGGAAAAGATTCCTAACACATTTCAGTAGACTTAGGTTCCTTCCTGTACAAAGAGCCCTCAGAAGTGAGTGAGCAAAAGGAAAATTAATAGGAAAATGGACAAAGTAAAGGGAACAAGAAGATCCTGGAAAAAGAAAAAAAGAAGTGGCTGATACCAAATGCAGAATTATGTTATTAAATAAAAGTACATCACACCCTGAAGATCAGTGCAAGTCACACTAGTTTCCATGGAACCTGTGAAATAGTAAATGTGTATGTTGGAGTTGGGTTTTTTTGGCGGCCCTGGGGTTTGAACTTAAGGCCTCATGCTTGCTGAGCAGGTACTCTTACCACTGAGGCACTTCACCAGCTGGAGTTGTTTTTTTAAAAATAAATCAGAACAAGAAATTGCTATTTTTTTCTGTAAAATTGGCAAAAATTAGGAGTATCCAAATTTAGTGAGTTTTAGGAAAACAAGTGTGCTCCTATATTATTAATAGAAGAAAATTAGTGTAGTTTCTTTGGTGGGCATTTTGACAATGTCTGACATTTTAAAAATGTGTGTTCCCTTAAACATGGCAGTGTTCCTTCTAGGAATTTGTCTTACAGGTGAACTCAGTACAAAGGGTGCATGGTAAAGCCAGTCTCCCTGCTACACACTGCTTCCCCTGGTTCCTGTATTAGAAGCAACAGCTGTTATCAGCCCTTGTCTAGTTTTCTTTCGCAGTATTTACTGGGGATAGAACTAAGGGCCTCCCACTTGCTAGACAAGCCATTTGAGCCACACCTCTAGCCCCGTCCTTTGTCTGTTGTATGTCCCCTTTGCGCATAGTAATACTAGCACACTGGACATCAGTTTGCTTTAAAAAAAAAAAAAACTAATGATTTATCTTGAAGTCTTTCTGTGTCTTCACATAACTTTACCTCGTTCTTTTTTCTCATTTGTCGTATTGTATTGCATTATGTGAATGAATCATAATCATTTTTTTATTGTTTTATTATTCATATGTGCATACAAGGCTTGGGTCATTTCTCCCCCCTGCCCCCACCCCCTCCCTTACCACCCACTCCACCC